CTGAGCAAGGCCGCACAGGGAGCACAGGAGTGGATGTACGGAGAGGGTGGTCAGAGGCGAAGGTCATAATGACTCGAGTGACTCGTCATGATGAGCACAATCCCAGGCATGGTTCGCATGTAGATCTCCCTCGCGCATCTATCACCCTGAAATCACCCAAAGTCTCTTTCTCTCTCATCTCAACGTCTCAATGTCCTAGCCCCTTCGATGTATGCAAATGGCACAAAGTCCCAAACATCTGCTACTGTGTACCCTAAGGGCCACATCAAAAAGCCTGGCACGATTTCGCATGCAGTCCACATGATACTTCGCCTGCGGCACGCAGCATCGCTAAGGACGAACTTGGTGGGCCAGGACTAGATTCCTAGATTCAGCGTTGGCCGCATCAAGTGATGGCCATGCAGGGAGATCAATGGCAAACAGCAAGCGAAAGGCTAGCACCAGAATCTAGCTGAGTGGCAAAATGTGTTGAAACCCTGAGACTCAAACAGGAGATTCGAGCCCTTACCTGAGCGAGTGCGGCAAGCAGCGCTCAACGGCACAGCCATCATCCAAAGTTCCTCAAATTTTGCGCAGCCAGGGGCCGAAACTTCATCATGCCAACTCAGCCCGCAACAAACACACGTCCTCTGTGCAGCTGCATGCGTCTGCTCCATCCGTTGAGTGCAACTGACACCTCAATGATTTGAGCATGATGCACGCCAACTGATTGTGATGGAGCCGCAGCTATCGCGCTGCAGGCTTTTGACAGTCAGGTCTCTTGACAATGTTGCAGTCGCACTGACACGGCGACGTCATCAGTCATGGTCGTTCCAAGCCCACTGCCGCAGTCCGACCCCGATCCAGCCATGCAGATACAAGCGGGTAGGTTAACTCACATCTTCGCGTGTGAAGTCACATCTTCCCACTGACACGCGGCTGCGAGCGAAGTCACATCACCCCGCGCAAAGTCGCATCACAGAGACATAGGTCGAAGCCTTTCCCCCAATGTGCACCAGCCGCACGCGCATGCTCTCGCCACACATGCAAAATACGCACTTGTCACCGCACGCCTGGAGGGGAGCACATTTTTGTCAGCGTGAATGAGATTTCTGCTTGGGGGCGCAAGTGGGTTCTGACCAATCTTGGAACTCGCGGATCCCCAGTGTGCACTCGACCGAGATACGACTTTACACAAGAAGATACGACTTAACCCATTGTCACGGCGCTTCTCCGATGCAAATTGCACGGGCTGCCAAGGAATACTCGGAATACTGTACAGAGAAGCCCACTCCTGCCATTGTGAGCATTGACATGCGAAAGCATCGCTGACATCCAAATGGCAACATGATCCTAAGGAACACCGTCCTCAACCTGAAAGGCGCGGTCAGAATCACAGGCTGATCGTGAGGAATTATTGTACCGTTTTGCAGCAACTGCTCCGAGTCTTGGATGGGGCAAAGGGCGCGGCTAGGCACCAAGGATTGCAGCAACTGCTCATGACTTCAAACCTTGGCCATCTGTGCTCTTCGGCTGCTAATGATCGCTCAGACACCGGCACATCATGCAAATTGTTGGGCAGTTGTTGTTGAAACTCCCGATTCAATCCGACAAGCAGACAGGCAGACTGATTCTCTCTGCAAGATGCCCGTCGTGTTGCCAGAAGACATCAATCGATGGACTTGTGTTGTCGGCTCTTTAGCCTGGACTAAGCAGCAAGGCATCAGGCTTTGCCGGGTATGCCATGCTTCATGCTAGACGTCATGCGGCTTGGCCATGGCCGCCTGACCGTGGTCTGACCGTGGTGCAGTGAGGGGCCCACGGCCCAAGGCTTACCTGGCTCACCTCCTCAGGCTTTCAGACATCGCGGCAAGAAACTGCGGTGGCGTCCCCGGCTCCGTCAGCAAGCTTAAGACATGTCAGCGAATGGGCACAGCGCCCCCGCCGCGGCGGCTTGTGCGGCTTGTGCGGGGACACAACACAGGCCAGGCCGAACACTGGAATGACTAAATGACTAGAATGTGTGGGTCGACTCGTGTTGGTGTCCGCGCTGGCAAGGTGAGGCCACCCGGACTCCGCCTGCTGTGGTTGTCGGCCGCCTTCGACAGACGGCTTGAGCCTCACTGGCAAGTAGCAGCGAGTCAGCAACAAGGACCGGCGTCAACCTGAGTTTAGATGTCGCGGCACACGTCGTTGCCCAAGAAGTGGGCAACAAAGCTGTCTAGGAGTCTAGGACGCCACAGGCCGCAGCAGATCGAACAGCACGAGGAAAACATGACAGTGACCGTGGCGAGTGCTGCGGTCTTGCTTGTGAGCGTCTGCTCCTGGCTATGGATGTCGAGAAGCCAATCCTGTTCACGAAGGGTACTGCTGCCCTAAGCATTGCAACTGCGGGACGAAGGCACTGCAATGATCTGCCACGCAGTGGCAAGGCCACCGCGACTTTCCTCATGTGTGCAACTTCACGCAGTGTGCTGTACAAGCCATACCGTGCCGCTGTACATGAAGACCTCGAGACAACAACGTCGAATTGAAGGTTTCCCTCATGCTTAACAGGGTAGTCGTCATTGCTTCATTTCTCAGCAAAACCACCGTTTCCTGCCCGACAGTGCTGAGAATCCTATGCCCGACACCCGACGATGCAGGGCGCGCCCACGCCCGTGGTCCTGCTGACTGCCCTCCAGGAGTCGTGCGTAGCTAAGTAAGTCTGTGGAAACCTTTGGAGTCGATCTGCAGAAGTTGGAGTGTTGCACCTTTGACACAAGCTCACACCTACGCAGATCAGTGCAACTGCCTAGGCGAGCAGGTGCAAGATATCGCACTGCACACTGCGACCGCTTTCGGAAGTTTGCGAAGGCGGGCACTATGGCATCAGGCTCCGAACTTTTTGATCGGGACACACTTAAGAATTCTCACACACCACCGCTGTGGTGCCTCACTGATGCGTTTGACAGCAAGCTCACACCTGCACAGATCAGTGCAACTGCCTACCCGCTATGTGGATCAGGCGCAGGATATCGCACTGCACACAGCGACCGCTTTCGGAAGTGGGCGGAGGCGAGCACTATGGCATCAGGCGCTGGACTTTAGTATATGGGCACACTTCAGGAATCTCACGCACCGCTGTGATATCAGCCGCTCGCTGATTGGCCGGAAAGCTCAAGCCTCACAGCACATTCACCACATGACAAGATGCTTCGGCACTGAAGCGGCACTGAAAGGCACTGCTGGCAGCGGCTGAGTTCAATCGCCATTACAAGCTTCATCCAAAATTTCCCGCCTGGACAACCCAGGCGCTGCCAACAAAGCTCGGCAGCGCAGCCACCCAGGCGAAGCATGTCCAGGCACCTAACAATCGCAGTTCGCAGCCAAGCGCCGTTTCTCTCCACAAAAGAACTTCTGCAAACTGCAAGCCCGTAAGCGCAGCAACTTTCGGGGTAGATACACGAACAAAGTCTTTTTCGGTTGGGGGCGTGTCCTGACAATCGCAATGGACAAGGCCTGACCCGTATAAAAAACGTCATGAACCCATGTGCTGAACCACAGTTGATGTAATTTAGGCTAATGCCCTGGCGCGTTTGCTGTTGCCCCGCTGAAAAAATCATCGCCTTCCACCCCTGATCCTCGTGGCAATTCTCCGTGCCTATCTGGGGCAACTCGCCGGGCTGGCCGGGGGCGGCGCGTCATGGGCGTCATGGGCTCCATGCACTGAGTTTCATTGGGTCGGGCTTCAGGCCTGCTCGTGTGCTGCAGACGCGAGCAAACTTACGTTCGGCGAATCTGCGTCTCAAGCACATGGATTGACATGCTGAACGTGGCGTCGTGATCTTCCTTGAGCTGAAGCTTCAAAGGCATCCACGCGTACAAGCTAAAGCAGCACCATGCAAGGTCAACGTAGCTACATGCCCACACGAGCTGGCAACATTTTTTGCCACCTTCCGTCGCAGCAAACAGCGACGACCCACATGCAGCAACTCTTTGATGTGCATCCCGATTTGAACTGGGAGTTTTTGGGGGGACTTCAGTGTGCGTTGGGGGACCTTAGTGCACATGTGGCCATGTGGGAACGTTGCACGCTTTTGAACCGGAGCCAGAACCAGCTTGAGAGACGGTATGTAGCTGATGCTGTTTCCATGAAAATGCGGAGTGCACGTGAGCACGAGCTGATTGGCCGTGTGCTCTGTTTTGTGCATCTTGCGTTCCGGCAACGGATACGACCCCCGATCCGATTAGCAGCACCCGCGACGCGATTCGTGCGTCGCCTGCGATCCTCTCCCGGATCCTGATCCGCTTAGTAGCCCACGTGATCCGTTTCGCGCTGGCGCGATCCGCCTTTGCGTGACCTGCTTCGTGCACGGCGCGATCCGACTCCGATTCGTGGGTTGACCTTACCTTGGAGTTTAGGGTTTAGGGCTGTTGTACATTGCCCCAAGTCTCTGCAAGTACCCTAAAAACCAAGTACTCCAAAGAATAACACACTTGCCCTCTCGGGGAATCTGGACGTAGGGACCGATGGCTGACCGCTCAGTTTATCTTCTCAACCAACTCCGTAGGCCGTAAAACCTGGGATGGGCTGGGCAACAGGAATACTGGGGCGATTAACTCGGAAAGACTTGTTTAGCGGTCTTGCGCAAGGGTGACAGCCGCACTCTAAGATGGCGGAGTCTGCAAAAGCCTGGTGCCATTTTACATTTAAAGGGCCGGCGCGCACAAAAGGCGCAGCTGGGGTGGCCAACGCACACAAGCCACAGCTTGAGCCGGCAAACGTCGGTGGCCTGTGCCCCGAACAACTTTTTGAAACCTGAGCAAGGCTACTCGGTCAGAAAGGATCTGAGCCAGCTGAGTGGCGACAGAACCTTTTCTCATCGCCTATCATCTCCTCTCACCTGTCAAGCTCAAAGTGCAGGGAACTTCGATGCAGAAGCGAGGCCACCAGCAGACTCACATTGCAGCGCATTGTCAAGCCATGCTGAATTTCAGGTGCAAGGAGGAGACACCCAAGTGACACGATGCTGCCGCGCCTACTGTGCTCCGACTCCGGCAGTGCTGAGCCTGAGCGGAGTAGAGGCATCGGGGCCCATGAGAGAAACTTAGACTCTTAGAGCCCTCTAACGGTTTGTTACGAAGGGTTCAGGCAGGGTTTGAGCAAATCAAGATCTTCCAGGCCAATGGTAGCATGTCGCACAACGTGCACTCAATCCTCTGCAGAATCAAACTCAAGAGTCCCAGATGGCCCTGGCCCGTTCTTTAGGAGTCTGCATTCTTGTCTTTCTTTTTGGTGGATCCCTGCTGTGACTCGGACATTGGCACTAGAGACGTCAGATCCTCAGATCCTCAGATCCTGGTGACTGCATACGGCAACGTAACAGCGAGCTTTGGATGCGGTGAAGGCGCTTTTCGATGTAGCTGTCGTCGCGCCAAGCAGAGGTCACAGTCTTCAGCTGCGTGAAGAAGTTGACGCCCGCCTGGAATTTGGCCGTTTACTGCCGAGCCCCGTTTAGTGTAACTTAGGATGGCAAACCATGGCAAACCTTGCTTCCCTTCATGCTGCTGCAACAGAGGGATGCTATGACCTCAAATTGTCGTCAATGTGACCGGGGGCTGTGCCTTGCCATAGAAGTTCAAGTCTCCCAGAATCGACTTCTTGTTCCCAGTGAAGGAAAACATCGGCAGCGGAACCTCGGCAAGTTTTTTTCACACCTCTATCCTTGCCCGCGCCCTTGTGTGGTGACGCACAGAGGGCAGAGGGGGGGGGGTGTTCCGCGACATCCTATGCGTGTTTTTTGCCTGCAGACAAATGGGTTCATAGCCTCAAGCACGTCGACTGCGATGGCTTGGGTCCAACCATAACTGCGTGGACGAACACTCTCAGTCCCTCACCTTAGCACGTTCAGACACATTTACAAGGGGCCCGTTTGCAGCCCTGTCTTGCTTGAGGAATTCATGTTCATCCCCTGAGGCTTGTACTTAGACATATGAATATCTGAAGATCTATGGAACAGGTGCAGCAAAAAGAAAGCATGCGCATTTCCAGTGGGCGGTGACCGAGCGACTGCCTGAGCGACCCTGAGCCCCCTTTTCTACCGAGGAATCTGCCGAGAGAGGGCGTGCCGCTCTTTAGGATGATTGCTGTAATGCCATGTAATGCTTCACCATTGCCAGTCTTAATCCGAACCCAAAAGCCCTCACGGCGGAAGCCCAAAACTTCGAGCCTACGCGTGAAGCTCCGAGAAGCCGGAATGGGCACGTTGATGCCCACCTGCAGGGGTGTTCACAGTCCCGCCTGATATTTGTGCTGCCTTTTTGTTCGAGAAAGCATCCACGTATGCACGCCCAAGAACCGGCTTCGAAGACTGCAACCATCTCCGACGGCCTGCCCCGCTTCGATCTCGTCAGTGAACTTCCTGGCAGCCGCGCCGCTCCGCGTGAAGACAGCCGTGCCATTGCCATAGGGGTTCCTGGGCAGTGCTGGCAGGTCGTGACATGCCTTCAATAGGGTTTTCGTTTGAAGCCCGATCATGTGTAGGTGCCCAGGTGAGTGTCTACTAGAGGCATCTTAAGAGGCGTCGTGTATCCGAGGAGCTCGTTCACGAACTTGATGGCCGCGTCAAAGGAGTCCACTTCCACGCAGCACAGCACAGGGCCAAAGATCTCGTTCTCGTAGATCTGCATGCCCTTCTTCACCTCTGCAAAAATGCTCGGCCCCACGAAATACCCATCTCTGTTGGCATCCGGCAAGGAAGGCTTGCGGCCATCGAGCAGTAACCTGGCACCCTCGTCCATGCCAGACTGGATAAGCTGCTCAACACGATCTTTGGCATTTGCAGAGATCAGCGGCCCGACATCCGTTCCCTTCGCATCTCCCGGCCCCACCTGGAGTTTGGCCGCCTGCTCTGCGATCTTTGGGATCCACTCCTTGGAGGCTCCGACAAAGACCGCCACGCTGATGGCCATACACCGCTGCCCGGCTGCACCGCAGGAGGCACCCACGAGCTGGTTCACGACGCTCTCTGGGTCGGCGTCAGGCAAGACGATGGCGTGGTTCTTGGCTCCCAGGTTGCACTGGGCACGCTTCCCGTTCTTCCCGGCCCGCTCGTAGATGTGGGCGCCCGCCGCGTTGCCACCCACAAAGGACACGGCCCGTATGTGCTCGTCATCGCACAGGAAGTTCACGGTGTCGTGGCCCCCATGGACCACGTTCAAGACACCTGGGGGCAAGCCACAGTCGTGGGCCATCTCGGCAAGCATCACAGATGAGAGCGGAACTCTCTCGGATGGCTTCAGCAAAAACGTGTTGCCCGCGGTGGTTGCGGGTGGGAACATCCAGAGCGGGATCATTGCGGGAAAGTTAAATGGGGCGATGCCCGCGCAAACGCCCAGTGGCACCCTGTAGGAGTGCACATCAACGCTGCTGGCCACGTTTGCCAAAGTCTCCTTAGAATCTACTGCGCATGCACGAATTGTGCAAGTTTGCGGGGAGGTTTACCATGTTTACCTTTGTACTAGACAACTTGGACACGAAGAGTTCCGGCTGTGGCCATGTCTGCCCCTGAAAGGGCACTTGTGAAGGATTCCCTCATCATCCCCCCTTGAGTCCTTGAGGTTTCCCACCCTGCCCTGATGTCCCTCAAACCTCCCAAACCTCTCAAGGCCACATCAAAGGTAACATTGCCAGGGCTCCCCTTGAATCATCGCAGGGATGTTGCAAGACATTTCGACGACCTGGCGAAAACATCGGAGAATCGAGATTCGACGAGATTCGATGAGATTCTCGAAGGCTGCTAGGGCTGGACCATCATCGATGCCAGAGCAGATCGAAAAAGACACCCCCCAAACGAAAGACCTACAAACATCTGTGCCTGTCTACCAACTATCCCAACTTACAGCCCACACAGCCGAGTTCCTCCAGGCCGCGAAAGATGTCGCCCTTTGCATCGGCGATGGTCTTGCCTTGCTCCTCTCTGCAAAGCGCAAAGGCCCCACAAAGTCCAAGTCACCACAGCTCCCGATGTCTCTTTCATCATCTTTGATCCCTCCCTGTTCCCGGTCCTTTGTCAACACCTGTGCAAGGGCATCCGTGTTGTCACGGATCGCACCTTCAAGCTTGTGCCTCAGGATTGCAGCCAGGAGTACGCCGCACATAATAATCTACTGTTGCATGGTAGCATAGCAAAAATACGGCATGCACACTGCATGCAAAACTTGGTGACCGAACGCTCGGGGCTGTTTGCAAAGTCAGGTGCATCACACGCGCTCGGCTGCTTGGCGGTGTTCGTCTCCATTCCTGCCCAGGCTGAAGGTAACCCCCCAACCCCAGCAACACACCCCCTTTGCTTTGCCACAGAACCTGAAATCAGGTCACTGCTTCGAGGAATAAACAAATTACAAGGATCAGTAGCAAATCACCCCTTACATCTGAGATCAAAAAACCCGCATGTACCGTGGCTTTTGGCAAGGAATCATCTCCTTCTCTCTCTTTTCTCGATTTTGCACTTTTCTCGATTTTGATGGACAATCCTCTGAGTTCAGAGAAAGCTGAGCAGTTGGAAGCGGGCGAGTAGCCCCTCCCACATAGGAAACCCCACGTTTTTCTGCGAACGGCCATGGGAAAGTTGTGCATTCCATCGTGGTTTCAGACAAAGCCTGCAATTATATTTGCTTTTGCCTCGCCGATGTGTAAGCAGATCTCAGGCATGTACAGCCCAGGCAGAAGCTGGGTTGGGGACGGGGGGGGCTCTCCCCAACCCTCCATTGCAAACAGAAATGGTCCGAAGGCACGCTTTGTCACACCAAAATGCAGGGGTCTCTCTCCCTCTTCCTTCCTGCCTTCTCCCCTCTTCGGCCTTTCTTCTTTGATTGTTGCAGAATTCTGTGGGCCCTTTGGAAGCAAGAGCCCCTACGAGGGGCCTTGAAGGCTTCGGCGCAGGAATCCGCAGCGGCCCGCAGCCTTGGGAGGATGGAGAGTGGCACAGCGGGGAGAGAAAGAAGCCCTGCTGTGCTTATGGCGGTTCTTTCTTTGATGCGTCTACAATGCTGTGTATCCCGGTGACTCCAAACGGGGCTGGTATTTACCGCCTTTGTTCTCCGGCTATGTGCTTCTTATATAAACCCTGCATACCCCTAGAAACGGACGGAAGCGAAATCCGCCGAGGCCTCGGGCCGGAGGTGTATAGGTTGTCAAAACAGGCACCCCCCTCCAAATCCTCCCCCCACACGCAAAGCCACTTTTCGGACCCCTTTTTTTGCCTCAAATGGGTACCCCCCCTAGGAAACCGGGGTCCTCAAGCGGACGGTTCGCCAGGACCAGAGGCAGTTGAAGCCCCTCCTAGCAGGCGCCCATCCCCTTTTTCTTCTGCCCCGCCCCCCCCCCCCACCCCCCCCCCCACCCCCCCCCACCAACCCCCCCCACCCCCCCCCGCCCCCCCCCCCCCCCACCCCCCCCCCACCCCACCCCCCCCACCCACCCCCACCCCCCCCCACCCCCCCCCCACCCCCCCCACCCCACCCCACCCCCCCCCCCCCCCCCCCCCCCCCCCCCACCCCCCCCCCACCCCCCCCCCCACCCCCCCCCCACCCCCCCCCCCCCCCCCCCCCCCCCCCCCCCCCCCTCCACCCCACTGCAGTTGGTGAGCGGGTCTGAGCTTAAAGCCTTACATCTTAAACCTGAAGCACTCAACCGCCCCCCTCCCCCCCAACGCCCCTGAGGGGCCTGGCTCAACCCTACGATCAATCCAAGCCGAACCGTCTTGAACCCTACTCCCAAAAAAACCCTAAACCCCAAAGCGTGAACCTTGAGCCCTAAGCCCTCAATCCTAAACTAAACCATAAACCATAAACCCGGAACCCCAAACCCTAAACCCTAAACCCTAAACCCTAAACCCAACCCTTATTGCTTGGGGTCCAGCGACTTGGGCGCTGCGGAATCACCATGCTCACGCGGATGCGCTGGGCCGGGCCGAGGCGGGTCGCGTAGCGTTAAAATTACACCGCCAAGAAAGAGACATCTGTAGACATACTCGAAGGTGTCATGCCTTCGGTGTTGCAAAGTCCAGCTTGGTGCCTAGCGCACTTTCGGGTCAGTTGCCTCAAACCTGAAACCCCTGAAACCTGGTAGTGACTGAAGTCAAGTCGCTCGTCTGCGGTGCACTGAGGGGTCCGAGCTATGAGCTCGCCTGATGCGGTGCCGACGGTGTATTGCACACATGCAGAGAGATACCAAACAAAAGCAAAGACCCTTTGCCCCTCAACACTTGACGGTGTCAAGTTCGTGCAAACCGGCAAACGTGTTGCCAAGCTTCCTGTCGCCGGGTTGTGCACATCGAAGAACGTGGAGGTCTTCGACGCGACTTTCTTGCCGTCTAGGATCATCGGCACCTTCCGGGCGTCTCAGGCTCAGGCCTGCAAATAAAATTGCTACGACTGAGAGCTGCCTCCGCCACGGCTGCCATGCTCCTCGCGGCACGGCGCGCGGGGCGCTGCGCGTGGTGCCGGAGTGAAGCCCACACCGCCATGGCCAAAATGTACTTAACCCACAAAATACGCAGAAGAAGCCGAAGAAGTGGGAGCGTAAGCTGGCAAGACTCTGCCGAAGAGTTGCTGGGATGCCTTCTGGTTCCACATGTGCCACTGTGCTGAGAGCACACAAGGGACAAGGTGCAGGCCCGCAACCTCAAACCCCAAACTCCTGAACGCTCATAAGCGCACAAAAGCTGTGCCCAAAACCCCACATTTGCACCAAGGCTTGTTTGCATTTTTGAAAACCTTCATTAGGCTAAGGGGAACTTAGGATAGAAGTACCTAGCTAAAACATTATTGTGATAAGGTGGCTCGTCCTGTTGTAATAATCACCAACCGCAACACTGTGTTTGCTTTCAAAAGACCCAAGGCGGACAACTTGCTCAATACAATGACCATGCTCAGGCTGGGAGGGGCCAAATTTTAGCTGAACCAGGCTTCGGCTGCCATGCTCCTCGTGGCACAAAATGCCAAAACTACGCAAAAGAAATACACAGTAACTGGGAGCTGGGAAGATTTTGCCTAGGTGCCCCTGGGATCTTGGTTTCTGTCACCACGCTGACAGCCTGGGCCATGACCGTTCTCTGTCTTTGTGTTACGCAAAGGCAAGGAAAGACCATGCAATTGCATGCACCAGGCCTGTGATTGCTTACCACCAAACATCTGGAAAGCCGACTGTCCAGAATCCGTTGACATCCTCCATGGCCCTGAAAGCATCTTGCTCTTGTCTCCTCATCCTCATGCTCCAGTTCTGTCGCGCTGTTGGCAACGGTCGCTTCAACAGAGGTGAAACAGGAAAAGACTGCTTCCGGTGGGTAGTGACTCAGAGTGTGAGAAGACAAATGCAGTCCAGGCTCTATTCTTTTGACTCAGTTCCGTTCGGAATATTGCAAAGGTGTTTTGTGCTTGTGATTTGTCATATCAAAGAACACCCTGGAGTCGACTGGAGGAGGAAGACCTTTCAGACCTCGCCAGCGTGGAGACAGTTGAAGCAAGTCTGACAAAGAGGCCATCCGGACGAGCGCAACGCAGTTACTGCACTTGCATAGCACTGCCCTTGTGTGAGATCCATACGCCCTGCTACACATGTCGTCTGGGGTGCTGGGCCCTGGGCTCTAGGATCCAACCTGAATTTCGAGTAGACAGCACCCCTGTCCCAAACTCTCCCCTTGCCTGCACTCATGCCAGCCCACCAGGTGCAGAGAAGGGGAATGGCGGCCCCTCGGCCGCGGCTTGTTTGGCAGAGCAAAGCCAAGAAGAATGTCGAGCACAAAAACAAACACACAACATCCAGAAGCAAAGCTGCCATTTGGCGTCTCTCTCCCCTTTTTTTTTTGCTCGGAGAGGTTTTGTGGAGGCATGTCCGGGGCCAGCACCTCGGACTGGCTCGTTAAACGGCTCTTCCGCCGACGGGAGCTTTTTTCAAATTCTGTTCGAGAGAAAACCGTCGCTCTCCAGTTGCGACATGCGGAGCCTCAGAGCAGAGGCACTGGCAAAGAAAAGCGCGGCGCTTCCTTGGGAAGTGCGCTTGACGTCACCGAAAAGGCACTTAGACGTTACTTCGACACTTGTCAACGGTTTAGTGACGACAAGCCTTTCATACCGCACTGCAGTAAGAGTGGCGACACTGCAACTGATAAGCTGAAAATCACCCTTTTGTCGTGCCGAGGAAGCCCTACAACGGTGGACGAAGATGACTACAGGAGTCAGTTGCAGGTCTTTCTGCCAACTCGAGTGGCCAAGCGATTGGATAACAATTTCTGTACCATCCTCCACCCGGATTCGGGATGAGGAGGCCAAGCGATAGTGCGGAAACTATACATCCGCATCTGCTCTGAACTACATGTTGTCTTAGTCTCAAAGCGCTGTACTGTAACCTGGTTCAAACTTGAAAGTATTTGTTCAGCAGCAACGTAGCCCCTGTCACCTGTCCTCTCGAGGCGTTTCAGGCCACTTCAGCTCTACGGACTCCATCCCGCCAGGGCCGCCAAGTGTGCCGGACACCTTGCCAAAGAAGCGCAGTCTGAAAAAACCCGAGAGTTTGAGGGCAAAGGTTGTGCCGGTTGTGCATTGTGTTCATTTCGCTTCGGAACCGGCGTCGGAGGCGCCCGTGTTTCCTGCGAGTCCGATGCCTGTACTACCATGTAAATGTACCACCCCCCCACCACCTTCGTACCCCCACCACCTTCGGCACCCCCCTTTCCCTCGACCTGCAGACGGTCTTTGGGGCCCTCTAGAATCCTAGAAGACCCTCTTAAGTACCTCGCTGTATTGACTCTCAAAGCCCAAAAGGCCCTACAGTTTCCGTTCCGACTGCGAATGGCTGGCAGGCATGGGCAATAAGCCTTCCGAATCAGGCTCATCAAGTCTCATAAATCATACTCTGCGAGTAGTCTCCTTGTGTCCACTTGTGCTCCCCGTTTTTCTCATCTGCCAAGGAGCTACCGTGCCCAGCGACACCAACAGCTCGGAGACTTGCTGAGTGCCTGCCCAAACTTTGACGTTGCGCTTCAGGCAAGTTGTTTAAAAACTTTCCTGACCAGGGGATGTGGCGCCGAACTGATCACGGACCGAAGGGACAGTCGCTGCCTCAACCCCAAGCGCAGTCCCTCGACACTTTAGGAATCGAGTCCGGCTTCGACACTTGAGCCGCAAGAACAGGCTGTGGCCGCTGCCACGCTGACTTCTCACGCATATGAGACCGATCACAAATATGCCACATGTTGCCTAAAGAGGTATGCAAAGAATGAAGGAAAGAGCAAAGGAGATGATGACAGGAACGAGAAGAACGAGAAAAACGAACCGAAAAGAGCACAGCAGCTTAATGACTGAGGGTTCATCACTCCCAGCCTTGCTGCAAAGCCATGAGCTCCTCCCACAGCTTGTTGTTCTGCTGCTTCAAAGCCTAGCAACAAAGAACACCGGGGGGGAAGAACAAACCGACACGAGCTCGCCGGCACGGAATACGAGGGCCCCTTTATATACACTCCTTTACGAGTGTCCAAAAAAGGACAGAACCTCAGACAGAACCGACAGACCCTGAGGCGAAGAGAGCCCGGGAATCCCTCATTGAAGCCCAAAAAAAGGCTCCCTGAAGAGCAACCCTGTCGTGTGCACCAAAGGCCAGGAAGCAAAGAGGTCCACTGATCTGGCTGGCCCGTGGAGCTGCAAGCAACGCTCCTTGAACTCCTCTGAACGGGCAACCAAGGAAGTATAAAAACCGAAAGTAAACACCCCATTCATTTGGGGGGGAAGAATTATATGTGGAAGATTCGAAGACAGCGGTTGCTTCAATCGGCTTCCATACTGGAGCGTTCGAAGTGGAAGCTTCAATGGAACGTTCAGGAGAGGACCATGAACCCTTTCCCCGTTCCCCGAAAAGATGCCTACCATGATGCCCTCAATAGCGCCCCGCCCCCCCGCCCGCCCACACTCCCCGAAAATGCGAGGGGGCGGTCTTTGGATGAGTTCTGCGAACTATCCATGATGTTGCTTATTTTCGTTCTAGTAATTTCAACCAAGCTGGGCACATCATTCTTCGGCAGCTTGTCCCTCATGCCTCGAAGCTGATCAAGTGGTCGCCGTCGGCATCCAGGCTGTCGAAGAGCGTCCAGGCATCCATGGCATTCATTTCGATGGCACCGAAGAAGGCTCTCATGTCCTCCTCCTCAAACATGCGCTCGAATTCGGTGATGGTGATCTTACCTGCCCCAGCCTTGTCCAGCTTCTTCCACAGGTCTCCCACTAGATCTTTGAGCTTGTACATGTTTTGCATTAACGTTTCGTGATCTTTTTCACGAGTCTTGATGGCACTGTTCACAAATACGCCTGTGATGACATTGAGCACCGCCAGTCCACAAAAGGCAATGTATAAATGAAACAGTTGTACCCAAAAATCGCCCAGAGGTAGGAGAGCATCGGCTGCTACACTCCAGTCAAAGCCGTTCATCAGTGCGCGGAAGAGCGTGTTGCAGGAGCTCATGACGCTTCCGAAATACATTTTCAGATGCCCCTCGTCGGCCTCACCGGACCAGAACCTTGGCTCAATGATCCCACACGACTCTTGAGACTCTTGAGCCTGTGCACCCCTTAACAGTCCCTAATCACGGCCGTGGCGCCTCAGCCCAACCCGGAGCCCCTGAAGGACTGCTCTGCGACCCCTCGAGCCAGGCCGCAAATGGTAGAGGACCGCGTCTGTAAAGAGAATGCCGAAGCTGTAGATGATCAACATCAAAAGGACCATGGCCCAAAGCCTGTCTCTTCAGGGGGTTACCGGCTTAACGGTTGCTGCTGGACCCCTGCCTAGCCTGGGCCTCAACAAAGACAGCTGTTCAGGATCTGGGGAAGGTGGTGGGGGCGCGGTCCAGTGGCTCCCTTTGTCTTGACCAGTCTTTGATGGTTCTGTTTCGGTTTGCATTCACAAGAAGCCTTTGTCTTGACCCCCCTAATGCCCAGACCCTGAAGCCCCTCCTTTCCAAGACGGCGAAAAACTGAAATCCCGACTGAGCCGGAGCAAAGAACTCCGGGCGCGCTTTAAGAGGGTTCAAGTTCAGCTTCGACTGTTTTGGGGTGCAAGGGGAACGTATTGGCCAGGGTGGGACGTAGGCCCGTAGACAGCCGAACCCTACAAGTGGAAACCAAGAACTTGCAATGCACTAACGCAAAAAGACTTTTTGCTTCCGGGCAGCAGCTGCCGCGTCGTGTCGATGACAGAGTAGACCAATGCGCGAAAGGCGCTGACAAAGCGAACCTCAAGCGCTCTCGCTGTGAGGCGTCTCGGATAGGCAGAAAAGCAGATATAGATTAAAAACGTGCTTCGGACGTACTTCGGGGTCTTCGGGGTGCCTAAGAAGCCTTCAGAATCCCATCGCCAGGCTTTGGCATTCAACCTTTGTACAACCGTCCGTTATGCGTAAAGTCTGCAAAGCTCAGGTGCTATCCGCACGGATCGAAGCACTTGCAGCAGCCTCGTGAGCTTGAAGACCTTAGAGCGATCTCCGGAAGGGGATTTAATTTCCCGAGGGGCTCCTGAGGTGCTGCCCTGATTTGTTCTGCTCAGAGCTGTTGATGTGTTTTGAAGAAGAAGAAAAGTTGTAGAAAGGCTTTTGCGTTTCAAGGCGCCCGGATGATGCGGAAGTTGCTGGCCCCAGTCCCTGCGTCCGTCGCGTTGGCGGACATGACATCCATTGTTATCTCGATCCAAGCCGGAACCACGACCTGACATTGGGGGGCTTGATAGGCAGAAGGCATCCGGGCTCGGGCCATGAGCGCCCTCAATATCGCCGAAGGGCAAAGATGTCCAGCCAATTCCAGGCACAGCTGTGACCGAACAAGTAGGTCTTCGGCCCGGAGGCCACTAAGCGGATCAGCATCTCCTAAGGCCGAGATGCAACAGAAGGCAAGTAAAGGAGAATGGCTTTTGAATTATAAGATGCTGTAAGGGGTAGTGTAAGGGTTAAAGGAACATCGAATCGTTCTCGAGTCTTGGTGCCAAGGTTCCACCGAGAACAAGGACGCGTAAATCAGGTGTCCGGCAAGAAACCTGAGCTGTCTCCCCCCTTGCTTTTCCTGCACTCAAAGCTGCGCAGAAAACAAACCCCACTGCATGCCACTGCCCCTCGACCCCTCTCTCTTCTTTGTTTGCTTGACTCCAGGGGCTTCAGGGGAGTTTTCCCCCTCCCCCCTCCCCCTCCCCCTTCTTCTTTCTGCTGGGCTTGAGGGGGCCTTGCAGACTTGCGCTCTCCCTCTCTCCTCTCCACATCCGAGAAGCACCGGTTCCACCAGCTGGTCCACCTGCCGAGAAATGAGAGGGGGCCTCATGCGCTCATTCTGTTAACTCACGAAAAACCGAAAACTTGAGTCACTCGGTCGACTGGGTCTAAGAATGGACAGCCCCCACTGCATCCTTCAGAAGTTTCAAAGAGCCCCACCTGCCGGGCACTCCACTCCAACTGGAGGCCCAAGAACACGGAATTGGAGACAATGACCTGGCGCTTGGCGCTTGAGGGATCTGAACAAAGGTCCTCAAGGTTGCTGCTCACAAGAGCTCCAAGCCCCCTTTCCCCGCTCCCCGCCATGCTGAAGAAGATGTTGAAGGCCAGTGAGCTTGCCATCCTTGCAGCTCGCTGTTGTGTCCTTCTGGCCCAAGACTGAAGCCTGGTCCTGCCCGTTTCGGAAGGGCACTCGGAGGGCACTCTGAAAACATTCTGAGGGTTCCAGGGTTGGAGAGGTTCTTGGACCATCTTGGAACGAGCCCTGCCTGGTCTTGGAGGTCTGGCGGGAGGCCATGGCTAAATTCTTCATGGACTCGATTCGGTCCGCCTCGGACTGAGCCAGTTCGTAGTCTTCGGAATGGATGGACCTCCTGAGGGGCTTCTCCTCGCCTTTGTCCTCCTCAGCCGTTTCCGAGCGCCTGCGCCCCCGGGCGGACGAGCCGGAGATGCGGTTGCTCACCGCTGGTGTGACCTGACGGGTCCACTCTGTAACTGTCTTCGGTGGGAGCTGCGGGAGCTGCTCGTCCAGCTTGGAGAGCCACAGCTCAAGCCGTAGGAGGAGAGCATTGTGCTGCTTCTGCAGCACCTGAACAGGTCTAACAGGTCTCATCAGGTTACAAAACAGCAAACTGTACGGGATTCCGAGGCCATGACTTCGTGAGAACATGTGAAAAAAACCCAAGGGCCCAAGGGCTGGGCTCTGCACGGCTTGGGGGGTGTCGGTCTCTTCTCCAACAAGAAGATGCTACTGATTGCATATCGGTATTTTATGGCACCCGGCACATAAAGAATTTTAGGGTCGCTAGGGCTCAAGAACTGCGGCGGCACCTCTTCCACCAGCTGTTGCATCTGATCCTTTTGCTCATCGCATTTCACGTCCATCGCTGGACAGAGGCAGCTATCTAGCATCTCCGCAATTCGAGCCAAGCTCGAGCATAACGTAGCACAACGTTGCATTTCGTTGATGTCATGGAACGTTTCATTTGACGTCATGGACCAAGAGGTTCTTATCCACGTTGACCGGCAGGGGTCCCTTCGAAAACGAGGGAAGCGCCTTTTGTGCTCTGAGCAAGTTACAAAAAGCCTGACATCCTTGAGCTGTTGAGGGGAGGGACCCTTTCTTGCCCCCTAAAAGAGACCCCTTGCACCCCAAAAGCGCTCGAGGCCAGAGCCACCGGGGCGGACCTGGGAGCTGAGGCATGACATCAAACGCTAGGGGCATCCAGAGGTATACGCTATACGGGGTATCTCCTTTGGGGTATTTCCCTGCTGGGGGCCCGGGCTGCAACAGGGGAGCCGGGAAAGCCGGCGGACTGCGCAGAGTTTTCCGGGCGAAAGAAGCATGTGAACGGACTGCTGCGATCTGCCGTGCCGCGTCTACAGTGTCCCCCTTTGCTGATGAGGGCGTCCACTTCTGCTTCCACTTCTTCATCAAAGCTACCGCTTCTCGCAGACATGAGAAACCCTGAGCACTGCCTCAGATTGGGCGGCGTAAACAGCGAAGGCCCTGGAGGAAGGGGATACCTCTGGGAAGGACAGTGGCTCGGGTTTCTTTCTTCCAGGTGCGCCTATGCAAAATCACGCCCATGTCCGTAGATGCAGGAGGCAGGGTGTGCCGAGATGCGAAATGTGCCAAGACATCCCCTCCACCTGAACGGTTGAAATATGCCTGGCCTCGACAAGCCCTCGCCGGAAGGGCGGGCCTTACCACTTCGACGCATTGCAGATGAGCTTGCAGCTTGCAGAGATTTGCAGAGCAAGACAAGCGTCATCGAGAGAAAGTTTCAGCACCGCGTGAGATCAAAGCAGGGCGGCCGGAGCCCTCTCAGAAAGCGTGGAAGGCCCAACTACAACGAAGCGAACTTAGAGACCGGCAGCTGGAACCCATGACCTCAAGACGCTTCGGGGAGCTTCTCTTTGAGGCAGGCATTGCGGCAAGTCTTGTAGCACTCAGCGACTTTCCACTTCGAGAGAGGACTCTGCAGAAACTCATCACACATCTGTCACATCGCACTGACCCATGCACTCCCGACTGGAGAGCCCGGCTGGTAGCCTCCCAGGCCTCACAGCCGCATCTTTTTGCTCTTACGATGTGAGCGCAGGAACAGCACAAAAGGCGCCTGTTGCAGCAGGCTGAGGAAGCCGAGGGCTGGGTGCTCCTGACTTGGGAGCCCCCAGAATAATTGGAAAGCCCCGGAATGCGTAATTTTGCTGTGTAATCTATACCATAAGTCTATCAGTCTATCATGTCAGTCTATTGCACCAGCTGTACCAGAGCCCAAGATTGACCCAGGAGGACCCAATGAGCTCCTGGAGCGGAAGGCGGGGAGGGCCACGCGTAGTGCCTCACACCAGAACACCACAAAAATCAGACCACATTCGACCAGACCATATACCGGGCAAAGGCTGAGGGAGAAGCGCAGCGGGCATCCCGAGCGGGCCGCTCCCCAGCGGGCCGCTCCCAAATGGGCCACTCCCGAGCGGGCCGCTCATCGGAGGGGGCGCTGCAGGGAGCGAGGGCCCGGAGGGCGCGGAGGGCGCGGTTGCCGGCGCCGGCGTGGCCGAGGCCTGAGTGCGCCATGGTCATTTTTGCTTCTTGGCCATGCGCCACTCATAGAATCATGGAAGGGGCAGCGTGCGCTTTCTTGAAAGCCAAGGGTACACAAGTAACTCAGCAGCAGGAAACCCTTCATAGTCCACCAACATATTCAAGAAGATGTGGTCTTAAACAGGTTCTCGGCTCCCCGGCCTGCAGCCTGTGGCCATTGGCCCCAGTTTGCGCCTTCGAAGCTTGCTTCGTCTTCTCAGCGTGTTTCAATGTCGTGTCCGTCCAACCGTCCAACTTCATCGAGCTGAACTTGGAAACGGCGCCCGTGCAGGCCTATGTGCTATCTAGACGCGCCATGTAGTGATCTGTGTGGGCATGCGCGCAACAGCCAAGCGAGAGCACATTTCGAGGAGAATTCGCAGGCAGGACAAGTGCGTGAAACTCTAGAGGCTGAAGTCATGTCGAGGGGTTTCGCCTAGGTTTTCAGCTCATTTACAGCAAGGCCCTTGAAAGCCGTCCAAGTTGTTGTCACAGAGGCCTTGAAGCCCTCAAGTTTGCAGCATCAAGTCCGAAAATTGGAACGTCAAACATCCTTGTGGTGCTCTGGGCATGTCGCCAAAGACATTGATGCTCGTGACAGCGTGTCTTGTTCCACGTCCTTGTGCAGTATGCTATACAAAGAGGAACCACAACGCTGCAAATACCGGTGTTGCGGGCATGGTCGCCAAAGACCTGAACGCTGGTGTCCTGCTCCACATCCGTGTGCAGTACAAAGAGGCGGAAACACTGTAACTACCAGTGTTTTGGGCATGGACGCAACATGAACGACGTTCGTATACAATAACTTGTAAGGGCCAGCTCGTCTGTTCCCTGGAGATGCATTCAGATTATTGCTCTCCACAGCTGACCTGTAGATTTGTCGGAAAAGTTCCCGTTTCCCTTGTTGGTGTGAAGCAGGAAGAGAAGAAAAACACCAACCACTGGGAAATTCATCCATCACGCCTTCATTCTCCCTTCTTGGAGTCCTAGCATGTGTGATGGAACCAAGACACGCTTGCTTCTTGGACAATCTCGGGCTTAGCTTGCGGCCCTTGCGGCTCTAGCCCTTCAATTACCATGTCATGCCACTTCCTTTACCTCTCTCGACCCGCACTTGCTCTAATCTAAGATCGTCTCAGCGCTTTGCTGTGGAATTCTGTATGCCTTTGGCGTGTGTTGACAAAGTTTGCAAGGTTTACAGGGTCTACACTCCAGCTGAGCCGAGTGCTGTCGCCAAATTCGGCTCTGGCAGCGCGGCCCTGGGCCAGGAGAGGCCAAGATGGGGGCCATCATGGGGGGGGAGGGAGCGGGGGTGGAAGCCATCGGGAGGAGCATCGGGGGAGAGCTTAGCCTCCAATCCAAGTTGAGTCAATCCCAGGAGTCCGAGGAGGGAGCTTCGGGTTCTCCATGTTTGGCGTCGCGCGCCGCTCGCCCTGCGACACTCGGCTTCTCGGCTTGACAAAGCAAATAAGTCTTCCACCCCTCCCTCGTGTACCTGCCCCCTTGAGACGAACGGTCCTCTACTGCCTCCTCTCTACCACCCCCCACCCCCGCTGTGCTCTCCGGACCTTCCGGCGCTGGCCGCTGTCCAACTTCACGGCGATGTTCTTCTTGTACCTCTGCGGGCAGGTCATGTTCGCGCCAGTTTGAACTTGGGGGCCCTGTCGCAAGTTTTTCCGTGTTTCCTAACTCTTAGGCCCGTGCTTGCTCATCAGCTCGCGTGGCACCTGCACGGCTGTGCAGATCTGATGGCTCCGCAGTGCACTGTCACAGCCCACTTAACGTGAAGCACCCTCTTGTGGTCAATCACGCTTCCAAGAAACCACCCCATGGCATAGCGCATAGTGCCTCCCTTCCATCCTTCGTGTAGTCAGCGGCCTTTTCCCTCACGAGGGCCTTCCACAAGAGCGTGGGCGTGCTTAGCTTAAGGGCTCAGCTCTTCCGCCAGTTTGGGCTTGAACAAGGCCCCGGTTTTCATTTCGGCTTCGGAGCATCGGGTCCCAACAGATATGATTGTGTGATGTGCCCCACCTGCTCTTTGGCCACTTTCATGGCCTCGAGCCTGGAATAGACCTTGTGGGTGTCGTGGAAGGACCTTCTCGAAAAGCACACACACACACACTCTCTCTCTCTCTTCTTCTTCTTCTTCTTCTTCTTCTTCTTCTGCTCTCTCTCTCTCTCTCTCTCAGAAAGAAGTGACGGCCACGCTCCAATCTCGGGTCGCCGGGCATTCGCTTCTCTCGGGGAATGCTGTGGAGCGAAGTGTCCACGCCAATCCCTGGCCATGCACCAGTCGTTGCGGCCCTTCCAGTCTCATTCGGAATAAGGTGCTTTGAGTTGCGCCCTCCGGATTTTGCCCACGCTTGCGGTTAGGAGCTCGGAGCTGCTTTGCAGGCTCCATGCCCCTGGGGCCACGCGGGCCTTCGGAGCGGACTCCGCTTCGACTTTGTTCTACGTATGCACGATTGGGCAGCTCTTTTCTCTGTTCTTCGTGAGGAAAAAACTCTATCTAGGTGAGCACCTTAAGAAACTTGACGGGCCCTTTATGGAGAGTGTCTGAACCGGAGTTGTAAATCTCGAAGGAGCCGGTCAGGCGTCCGCGTCAGTCGCCTGCCCGGTCGGAAGCGACTGCCAAACTGAGAGGTTTCCATGTGGTCGCGTGGTCCTTTTCAACACCATAAACTCTGTGGAGCATAGGCACTGTCGATCCTAGCTATCAAGCCATCGCTGCCAGCTAGCTCCAGCAGCTCTGGATTCTTTCAAGGGCGTCGTTAGAGGATACTGTTCTCTGCAAAGATGCTGAGGGCTCTGACAGTTGCTGCATGCCCTACGCTTGCTTCAGAGACGCCAAGCAAGGTTGGATGACTCAACTCTCGTCCCGGATGAGATGACAGGCCTTCAGCTACAGCCGAGGCACGCGCCAAACCTGCCAAATGGGTGCTTGAAAGTCTTTATCATTCCATATCATGTCCTCGTGTCATAAAATATATAATGCAAGACTCTACATAGCCTAGGGAACAAACAATGGACTGTTTCTAGGTTTCGTAAGGAGCCGACTGGTCGGCGCTCGGCCAGTGGCTGCCGGAGACGCGGAGCCTCCAAATTAAACACGACAGTCCCGCACTTTCCCCGTAGCCTAGACATTCAAGGGCCCGCGTTTCGATAGAGCACAGGGGATAGGACTTCAGCATCAGGACCGCATGGGGTTGTGGACCCACATGCTTCAAGCTCCGAAAGCAAAGGCCCCCCAAAAAGGGCAACTTAGCTTAAGCAACCCCGAAAACTTGAAAATCACCCCTGGCAGGGCCTCTGAAGATCAGCAAGGCTCGAGGCAGTCTGCACAAGGAGGCCACCTGGGCAGAGTGCCTCTCTGTGGATGGCTTTCGCGCTTTTTGCGCCCTCATGCGCTCATGCAAAAAAGGAGCACTGGTGTTGCCGTTGGGTGAATTCCTAAACGGGAAGAACCCGCAAGCGCGGGCACGCAGGCTTAGACGTTCAAGACTCGAAGAACCAAAGCCCGCCTGTTGACTTTAAGATGCTACTCGCAGCTTGAGGAACCCACTGAGCTGCGATTGCTAGATGACGCTCAAGGCCCGGGCAGAGCATTCCTCGCATGGTCTCGACTTCCTCCGAGGTCCTTGGTGATGCAAAGAGGCTGCGTTGCTTTCAAATTTTAATGTTTAACATGGCTTGGCTTCCGATTGGCTCATTGCGACTTCGCTCAATGTCTCAGGGCTGAACCAACACAGGCGCTTGTCACCTTCTCAGGCATGTGCAGAACTCAGGTCACAGGACAGTACTGACATGTCCCTAAACCCTGAACCATTTTCCCTGCCTCCGCGAATGCTCGCCGCCGCATCTTGCAGGTTATCATTCTCCGCCTCCTCTTCGAATGAAAGCTTTTTGGAAATGAGGCAGCACGAAGTCTTAGCCAACACTTTTCTACAGCCAACGAGAACTGGAACACCGCCGCAACTTCTGAAACGTGCGCCTCCCACGACCGCACTTCCGCCATGGGCAAGGTGGACACCATTCCCTGCAGAACGGGCTCGCCACAGAGCTGTCTTGTTGAATCAGAAGCGGCGGCCTGTTCTTCCATCCTCCCATGCTCGGATCGCCCCGCCCCGTTCCTCCTGCCTTGGCGTCGGCCGGGAGGCTGTCGACAAACCTTGCGACAAATAACAGACAAATAACAGGGAGGTTCGAGTGCTCCCCCATCTAGCTCTTGGGATCTAGTTCTGCTGGGCTCCGGCCTGTGCGTCTCCCGCTGCACATCGGAGAGTGCCCTGGCTCAACGCTCCCTGCGGCTCTGCACTGCGGTTGAAAACACCCGAGGCACCTCACCAGGGAACTCCGCATCTCTGCCAGATTGGGCGTGGCCTGGCAAAAGCGGATGGATGCTGCGTGACTGCGTGGCTCGAAGTCCGGACCTCCGGACCCGGCACCCGACCCCAGGCCTTGTTTGTACTTCGGAACAAGCTTGGCCAACCTTGGGTACCTTGGGTCTTTCACTTGGTAGCACTTGGTATCACTTTTGGTAGCACTTGCGGATACTTGCGGCCTTTCGCACTCTTGCACTCTTGCACTCTTGCACACCTCGAGGCACATCCTCCACAATGTGATGCTACGGTATGGCCCAACTAACGCAAACCCTAGAGATGTTCATGTTCCACGGGCTACAGGCACCGCCTCGCCTCATGTTAGCTTGTGTTGCTTGTCCGTGCCATTGCCATGCGGCCAAGGAAGTTGGACGGGCACACTGCCAGCAAGGCGCAGTGCCCGACAACAACCGGATCGCGATCGACGAACGAGACTGCATATGCCACACAGTGAACCGCTGCCCGAACACCACGGGCCAAAAAGGCCACTGATGACGGGTGAAGGTGGGCGTCGTTATGAAGCACAGGTCCCTTGGCTTTTCGCCCGTCTCGGGGTGTGTCGCTGCGTTGCGTTGTTTGCTCCCTAGCCCTCCCCGAAAAATGCAGACTATCAATTCCGCACGCAGCTCCGACCCTCTTTCTGAGATCTGACAGGGGGGAGCCTCTCAGAAGCAGCTCTCTCTCTCTGTCTCTCTTCCAACATCCTGACAGCTCTCCAAATCTCTCCTTGAAGGGCCATCTCCTGCAAATGCAGAAGCTCTCTGCACCAATTGTTGAGACGTGCTGCGTTCCCTTTGAAAAGCCTCTCGCATCTCTCGAAGTGTGCGCTTGCTGTTTTTCTTGCAACACGAGGATCACGAGGACCCGGCTCTCGCCGAGGGATGCCGGGCTGAGGTCGTCTCGTCCTGAGAATGGCCCTAGGTACTACTTATATGCTTCTCTATGCTTGTTTTAGAGTGTGCGAGAGACCCAGAGTTCTGTGAACAGTGACTTAATTACTTGCCGTTTGATGCCACCGGTTCACAAACGCGACGGCGGCCTCCATCCCCGTAGTCGCCCTCCAGCGCCATGCTGCTGTGACGTGCAAACCTGTCGAGTTCACTTCCGCGCCACAGCACACTTCGAGAGAGAGGGAGGCAGAGAGCTGGAGAGAGGGCGAGAAAAGGAAAGACCGAACGAAGCAAGACAATGCGGGCATCCAAACAACATAGTCGCAGTATATGTGCTTGGAGCATCCCCACCTAGAGAATTCGTTACAGGTTTTGCACCGTGTTTCCCTGGCACTTACATCTTGACGAGGAATGCATGTTCAAGAGCCGGGCGTGGGGAACAAGCAAACAACCAAAGAGAGAAGGCGAAGATGGTTTTTGAGAGAGCCAGCTGAGATCTGCTCCTCTGGGAGCCTGACAGGGAAACCATGTTCCGCCCGTCGTCCTCATAAACATCAAATCTGTGATTGGCCTGCTTTTCATGCAAAATTACCGACCACCCATCCCAACATCAAAGGGGGCACCAGGGGCACCAGGAGGCCAGAATACATTCTCACATTGCACTCTCTTTTGTGAGAAGTTCTGCATGAACCGTGCCCCATGTCCCGTGAGCTTCGATCTGGGTCCTGCATCTCGAGCAGCAAGTCATCTCCAACGAAACGCACGTACTTTCGGAGCTCCACAATGTCCTCAGGAAGACTACAGTACTCAAGCAAAATTGCCACTTGCGGTGGGGTTTTATGGATTGTATGAGCGCACACTGCCGGACTGAACCCTGCCCTGTCCCGCACGGTCGCTGTGTTGCTACCGCGCAGCTCAAGGATCAGCTCCTGCGACCGTTAGGGTCTCACAGACGGGGTTTGGCTCTCTTTTTAGAGGGCCCCGTACTTTCAAGCCTCCAGCTCTTCCTGCGCACTGCACCCTCAAAAGACATCTCACTCGACACCTCGCCATGTTGAGAGGCCACGGAGGTTGACTTGAGCCAACTTGTAGGCCTGAAGTTTGCCGCTCGACCTGACCCCTGCTTTGTTCACTGTGTTCCCCTCTAAACCCCTCTGATTCAAGCCGCAACATCGCCAGCAGCAGACAACCTCCTCTTGCAAAGCACCCAAAAGACTGCTGATCTTGCCGATATCGGGGGGAGGGGAGGAGGCTCCAGCAGCTGCCCAAACGTCAGCATCTTCTCCGGCGGCGCATCCTCTTCCTTCCAATTTGGTCTTGGGCTTCGTCGATGAGATACGGTGCGTAGCCGAGGTCGGGAGCTACAGGGGCTTCTCTGGGCTTCTAGGGTCTTCTAGGGGCTTCTGGGACACTGATGTCATCCGGGGAAGGAGTGTAGATTGTGCTTGAGCGCTGTGGACAAGGCTTCAACCGGCAATGCGGTTTGGGGGTACTTCTGAATTTCTGGCACGGCAATGAGTTGCAACCCTGGCCTTTCGCGCAGTGAATTCGTATGAGAGTTGTCTGGTGAAATGTGGGGACAGCTAACGTTAGCTGTGGTCGCCCAGGACATAGGTGCAAAGATTCAATGCACTTGTACAGAGCCGCCGGACAGGTGTTCTGTCCAGCACCCTGAATATCTGCACGCCAGTCACTTCTGCAGCAACCTTGGTGATGACAGGGCTGCTCCGAGCCAAAGAGACCCGCCGCAAAGAAATGACATGAAATTGAGCGCAGTGAGATAGTGATGAGGACCGAGTGATGCCCAGTGGCTTGTGGTCCAAGCCCAGCTTTCCTTTCCGCCGCTCAGATCCCAACTGCTCGCGCAGGTAGCGGTTCCTGGGCGCAGACAAAGCATAAAACAACACTTGCGAGACTGCAGTGCAAGTATTAAAGGGTACCGGAAGGCTGCTGCAACACAGCTTTGCCGCCCGACCTCGCTTCAAGCTATCAAGTTTCGAGACCGAGTCGCTGGGACCGCAGCCCCTCCAATGTGTCCACCACGCCTTTGGGGACCAAGGATGCCGGCGCCTGCACAGCGAAGTGCGAAAGCAGAGCGAAAGCAGAGCGAAAGCAGCTGAGGAAAGCTAGGGGGGGCAACTTTGGTGCACAGACGTGGCTGGGCACAGGGCCTCATCCAGGGGCAGCTTGAGCACCTCTTTGCTTTGCAGCGCCCTGGCCAGGCATTCACCCATGAGGCACCAAGTGTACATCACAAGCGCAGCGTCAGCTTCCGCAAGCTTTGAAGCTGCCAGACTCGAGCCGTTGCCCACTGCACCCGGCGCCTCAGACGGAGGTCGAGCTGATCGAGCAAGCTTTTGAACTCCGTCACCTGCTCAGGGTTGACTCTGAAGAGCTCGAGACTGCACACCTTTCTGCACACCATTGTTTGCGCACCGCGCACTCAGCCTCCGTGTCCTCAAGCTCTGCATCTGGCACCTGTTGTGCCTCTGAACAGCAGCTGGGCAGCATGCTGTGACTATACTGGTTGAAGACAAAGAAAGAGCGAAAGCCTGATGGTTAAGAACATGACCTTAGGTCGTAGTTTGGTGTTTTTTGTTGCATCACTCGTTATCTTGTGTTATGCGATTGGGCTCGTTTTGGACACTACAGATTGGTCGCTCGTCACTTAGGCTGCTCGACTCTTCGTCCCCCGGCATTCCAGCACGGGAGCCTACATGTTGCAAGACCAGGAAACTCACCACAATTCCATGGAGGGAGTCGGATCATGGCCGGCCCCTCTAAAGAAAACAATGGGCCAGCCTCGCCATCCACAACAGTCGGCGGGGACGGCGCGGCGCCCTCACCTTCTGGGAAGGCCTCCTCCATCTTGGCAGCGAGGTCCTGCAATGGCTATGGCTACGGCTCAACAAGCCGAGCTCAAAGAGAGGGCAGGGGGGGGGGCGGGCTCTGAATGTTGTGGGGAACGTTGGCTTGTGCTCAAAACCCCCTCAAACCTCGAAAACAAAAGACCAGAGCAGTGCTCCACAGTGCTCCCAGGCCTTGAGCTCGCGCAACTCGGCACTTTCGTGGACGTCCGTGAAGCTGGGGGGGCACGGGGCGGGCTCTGCGCTGTCCTCACGGCAAGTTGTGATCAGACTGATAAGGAATAGACCCAAGCGAGCTTTAATGTTTACCGTACTTGCGTAGTTCGGCTTCACCGGTTGTCATACCCAGCTGTCATCGAAATCGAAGAAGCAGCCACTTCTTCAGTGCGCGGTTCCTTCATTCCTTCTCTGTCGCCTATCGCTCAGACTTCAGCGTTGAGGGCTTTGAGTCTCCTCGCAGGGGGTCTGCGAAGTCTCCGAATCGCGCCGCTGCTGCTTGCGGAACTCCGCCACTTGCCGCTGCAGCTCCCGATCCTATGCTCAGCGCCCTTCTGACCAAGGCTGCAAACAGAAACTCTGAGCATCGCGCATGCGCACATCCCTCGGGACCAGTTCGACTCAGGTCCCCACCATCTCTTCGATCTCCCGGTCCACGGTGTTTTCTGCCTGCTCCGCCCTGGACAGCAGAGCATCCGCGGTGGCGCCAGTGATGCGAATCTGCCAGACAGCACACGATTCACACGATGCACAGGTTTGCAAGCCACTGCTGAACAAGGGCAGCACGGGCTCGTGCTCGCTGTATGTCCGAGTGGTGTGCATACATAGAACCATGAAGAGTAAATTATGACACTAATAACTCTCTGTGGATACATATTTATATACACATATGTGTAGAAGTATATGTCTAATATACGTAGATAGAACCGTATATATGCATATGTATCAATGCATATTTGCCAATGTTACCTGGGCATGTACGTATTTGTGTATGCTACAGGTCTCCTGCGCGCCCGTACGCATACCGTGTATGTGGATGTGCGACATTTGCCCACGTGGCCCCATTCTTGGGAGCAACCGATGTCCGATCCTCCAGCAAATCCGGCCTCCGCCCTCGGCGTGGCCTTCGGCGTAGCTCTCGGCGTGGCCCTCTCGGACCGCGGCGCGCTCGGGGCCTGGGCTTAACCCGCAAACCTAGCAAAGCCTCTGAACCCTCTCGGCTCTAAACCCAAAACCTTGGAAAGGTTTTGGGCGTGGGGCCAGAAATGGGTGACTGCGTAGGGCCCCCGGGCCTCCTTCTCCCGCTGCGCGCGCAGCGCGGCCAAGGAAGCCAACTCTGCCTTCAGGGCCTCGTCCTCGAGGTCCGGCTCTTCCTGAAACGTGGGGCTTTGGGAAGATAGGGAGTCACTTTCCGCATGGCTCCCAAAATGTCGATTCCTTGTCATGCCTTGGTAAGCACTGTCGTGGGCAATACGGGCGCTTGTATTTGCTCAATGGGATCGTAGCTCTTATGGGTTTATAGGGATTGCTTTCGAAAGGACGCTCTTCCAGGCCGCTTACTTGGTGTGCCCCCAATTCTTCCCCCCGAAAAAAAAGGCCAGCAACGGCCCACACCCCCCCCCCCCCCCTCCCCTCAAAGTCGCTCAGAGCGAGTCCTGGGCCAACACCAGGTCAGCAAGGCTTGGCATGGCCCGGAACTTGCCACTGTCGAAGGTTCTTCTGAAATCAAGATTTCAACTTGAGGATAACCCTCTGATGTATTCTTGCTCATCTCATAACTCTTGCTCAGACCTTGCTAAAGCAATCTCAACCTACACAGGAAGATCGGAGGGCGGAGGCTCTTGCAAAGGCACCTGGGGCCTGTTTGGTCTGAGACTTTGCGACCACCTCAAGCCGTGCACAGGCTTGAGCCAAGGCAGGCACCGGAACGTCTGTAGAAGCCTTCTGACTCTGTTTTGTTGTACAACAGATATGGGGGCTCGGGGGCTTCTCTCACAAAACCCTTCTCACAACCCCCCTCTGCCCCGACAACTCTGATTCCGAAGGCCCTCAGGTTCATGAACCCAAAACAGGGCAGGCCGATGTGGCACTCTCACTCTCGTTCTCTCTGTCTTGCTTGCTCAGCCTCTCTTCCTTCCTTCGAGCGCATGTGATCCCCACGAAGGGGGATCGCCCCGAGGCTCTATCTCTCTCTCTCCCTCTTTCTTTCTGCGCACCTGACCCCTCCCTTTGCTCTCTCTGTCACTCTCTCCTTTTCTTCTTCTTCTTCTACCGGGCACGAGGGAATAAGGAAGATGACCCTACCCCTCGCGCGCATGGGGCGCCCTTGAGTCCGCAGCTTCACGTCGGCGTGAAACAACTGAAAACAGGAGCCAGTGGCAGCAGTACATACCCGGGAGAGTCATCCCCCCCACCATACGCAACACAACAATGGGTTTTACTGGTTCCCCCGACTCTCTCGCAGTTCTCTCTTTCCCTTTTCCTTGCCTCCCTTCCTTGCACCACGCATGCCCCCCACCCCACCCCCCCCCGCAGAAGTGGCACCGAATCAGTCGGTGTGAAGTTCCTCGCCCTGTGGATTTTCCTGGGAACACCTACCTCTCTCTCCCTCTCTCTTCTGGTCTAGGGGAACTCCTAATAGATCCAATCATCGGCCAATGCCTCATCCATCGGATCCGGTGCAAAGATGAACTCGATGTTGTCGACAAGAACCAGAACGTCCACACCAACCTTTCGGAGAGCAGCCAAGTGGCAGCTCTGATCACCTTTAGCTCAATGCTAATTGAAGCACATGCTGCCAACTACTAGTATGGGCGGAATCCTCAAAGACGTAGAAGTTTCTGGTTGTTTTGGAGTGTTGCCTTCGTGCTGGAGAGTGCAGGGGGCGCGGACTGTTGCAGCAACCAAGAGAAGGTTCCAGTGTTGTTTGGCCATGTCTCCTGGCCCATGCCGCTCTCCCTGCCTCCGTCAAGGTCCGGCAAACTTCTGGCTTGTCCAGCATCCTGTAGTCCAGGATGGACTTGCCCACTTGACTTGTGTTGACAAAAAACTCAGAGATCTTTGGCCTCACATCAACCGCTGTACCGGTCGCCTCAACTGAACACCCGAAAGAACTCAAACCGAATCAAACCTTGCGGAAGCCTCGTGAGGTGCTCCTTGGAAATTACCGGCGCCTCCTTACGTGGCTTTGCTTTTGTTGGGGGGCTTTAGGAAGCTTGCAAAGTACTGAAAGGCACTCTATAACTCTGCGCACGGGCACAACATGAGCGTCGCAGACGATTGCAGACCCATGCCCAAGGCGCCGACCGCAGACGGATCGACTCCGATCGATGCCAGGATGGAGGTGAGCTGCCTGAGTGGCTTCTGAAGAAGGAACCTATTTCCTTGAGATCGTTTTGCAGCAGACGTGAGCTTAAGACGCTCCTCAAGCCTCATCGAAGCAAGGAAGCGATCTGTAGCATTCAGAAGCCCTCACATGGGGTTGCGGCGTCTTCATAAATTGGACCGTCAGCTGCTCCTTCTCGGTGGCGGCCACCGCCGTCACCACCTTTCCCAGGCTTCTCGGGAGCTGATGCAGCTGCATCCTTGACCTGGAAACCTTTGGTTGTCTGTGACATCTATGGCATACATTGCACTTGAATGCACGTTCAGGCTGACCTGCTGTGAGCCTGCTGTGCTGCTCATGTCAAGGCCTCGCAGAGAACGCCAATCAGCAGATTCCTGGAACGACGCATGCAATGTTTGTTCAGGTTAGGGACTCTGTGTGCTCACGGAGAGTACGGCCAAGCTACGTGATGGTCAGCGAAGCGAGCAGCACAAAGAAGTAGAACACCTCGGCACGGCTCGAATCTTTCGAGAACTTCATATTGGGCTCCATATTCCAGCGTTTGCGACAAATCCTGCTCGCCCCAACGCGATGAGCAGCGCACAGGGAGATGTTAATTAGCCCCCAGAAGATCCTTAACGGCCCTTAGTGCGTCTCAAGACCGAACCAAAAGTTGTTTGGTTTGCTTTGCGGTCTCCACGATGCCGAGGGACTACGACCAGGGCGACGTTCTCTGCCTCCAACTCACGAACCACCTGATCTCTGCGGGATAATCTTGGGGTACTAGGTACCCTATTCCCCTGAAAGGGTTGCGTCGGCGGATATAAGGTGCTGGCACCTAACCCCCAGTTGCTCCTTATCAAGCTTCAGATTTGAGGGTTTGCGGGGAGGGGGGCAGCATCGCCGCAAACCCGGAAATCAACCCTGTTTCTTCTCAGCACTGGCCCGTGATTCATTTTGGGACATGCTTGTAACCTTCCATATGCACAGTGTCTCGAGTCATGGCCACCCTAAATAGGAAAAATCTCCCAAACCTCCCGAAACCACCCGGGCTTTGAACGAGCCCAGCCTCACTGATGTTATCCAGCAGCGTGCCGTAGACTGACGAGAGGCTTGAGGTCTGCTTCTGTCTTCTTCAAGCACTGCTTTGCAACGCAGGCTCAGCTTGTGGGAGTGTGGATGATTCGATCCCCCAAGAGCGTGGGACGGAATTCAGACACTCAGGCAGAAGATGGGAGTGTGCGCGGTCTTGGCTTCCCGCGTAAAAGCGTGTGCATGGAAGCAACGACCTTAACGTACAAGCACGAAGAAGACAGAACTCTACTACTGTACTGCTGTGGGCAAAAGAAAAGCTCTGCTCTTCCACGTCTGCTTCCACATCGTCTCTCTCGTAAGCTCCGTGGCTGATGGGAAGAACTGCGACCCAACCGCCGTGCCATCCGTGATCTGCCTGGTGCAGAAAGCGGTGCAAAAAAGCAACGCCACCAAGCAATGCGAGCAAAGCACGGACACGAGACACAAGACCGAATGCCAGGCACATCGCGGAGCCTGAAGGTGATCCCGAAGAGGTAGGTCACACAGCAGAGCAGCATCAAAGTGAAGGCCACTGGCCCTGAGGCGCCACAAGAACAGTACAAGATGACACCCCAAAGCAGATTCTCTGAGTGGTGTGCTGGCGCTTCACTCCCTCTAAAACTGCAGACTCAAGTGACTTCAGACTTCCCTCTTTCCGGCATCCACACGAGGCCGCTGAGGCCGGATCGAGCGGCCGCGCTGATGCCCTGCACTTGGTTGCTGTTGCTTTCTCACTCTTCTTCTTCTTCTTCTACGGGGCATGAGGGGGAGAGCCCCCCCGCGCACTGGGCGCGCCCAGGTTGCGTCCAAGTCCAGTCGGTGTCTCACTCTCTCTCCCTTTCTCTCACCCTTCAATTCTCTCGCGACGCCTTCAGCAGGATCAACCTCGGCCCGAGGCAACAAAGTGCAACAGAAGCGAGTGCTCGCGCCGAAAGCTGGATGTCTGTTTACCTTGCCAAGAATGTCAAGGAGCCCCTGTTAGCGGATTCTTCTTGGGGAACGCAACTCCATGAGCCTTTTTGAGCCGGCAATTGAGTGTATCGGCATCTGAGTTCCCGGCAGCTCTGGCATCAGCTTCAGCAGACGCCCCTGGTTCAAAAATGCAGCAACTTGGGCATCTCTCAGTCTTGGCTTCGCCCAACATACGCGAGGCTCACAAGAATGGCTTAGCTTGGAGAGTGTGGAGAGTGGAGTCTTGATCTTCCGTTCGGCTGCAACACGAACGACAAAGACGTGTCTCACTGACGAACCACTGTCAGTTTGAGGTTTGGGACTCCGGTGGACGCAACAGTATAGTTTACTCAACGTTTACTCGCCTTAGGCGTGCAGTCACACAGCACACACAGCAAGATAAACGGAACAAAGTCTTAAAAAACACATATCTATGCTCGATGCAAACGGGCGGCCATGCGCGCCATGCGGGTGATTCGAGAAACTCGCGCGATGCGGATGACGGCCACCTGGAAGATCATCACGAAATCCCAGATTTCTTCTGCATGATGCGACACAGCTGGCATTCCAAAGGACAAGATGAGACAGAGACATTGCTGATGCTCGAGGCATCTCCGCCGAGCAGGAGAACGACAAGGGTGATGACCTGCATTGCAAAAGCAGGTTGCGCCTCTCAAGGGCCCTTCTCTCTACCTCCAAGCCAAGTAGCCCAAGTCTCAGTGACCATGAACAGCACCAGGATCGTATCCAGAACGAACCAGGAGTCTCGCAAGCAGTTGCGCTTGTACCTCCACAGCCCCACAGCAAGCGAAGCGAACACGAAGTGCCTCCTCTCTCCTGAATAAGGGCCCTGAGATCGTAATTGGGGCACTTGAAAGCAAGCAGTCGAATCAGCCACTCGACACTGAAGTAGATGCAAAAGAAGTTCTCCATGACCTAAGCGGCGAAGCATTCAGTAGTGCTTGCCGCAGCGCCCTCGCCATCAAATCACAGCAAAGCACAAAGACCTTGATTGACTTCTGACTTTGCTTCATAAACTTGAACTTCTTGTCATACACCGAAGCGGAAAGACAGCATGAATACATGCGCTTTTGAGGTGACTGGCACATTCATTTTCAGCAAGATTATGCAGGTGGGTTTCAATGAGCATGAACATGTTCAACAATCATGCTCAAGATGCTTGTAACCGGCTTAAAATCCGCCGAGGCCTCGGGCCGGAGGTACCTACCTGGGAAACCGGGGTCCGCAAGCCCCCCCCCCCCTTTACCCCCCCCCGCTACCCTCCCCCCCCCCCCCTACCCCACCCCTACCCCCCCCTCCCACCCCGCCCCCCTCCAAAGCCCCACTACAGAATAGAGCGGGTTTCGAGGCTCAACTGGTGTGAGCACGGCCGGGGATGCATTACACGAGCCGAAGAGTCTAAGCTTGAACCTAAACCCTCAACCTTCAACCTTAAACCTTCAGCCCGAAGCACTCAACCCTCAAACCTTCAACAAACCCCCCTTCCCCCCTGCCCCCCTTCCCCCCCCACCCCCTACCCCCCCCCCTGAGGGGCCTGGCTCAACCCTACAATCAATCCAAGCCGAACCGTCTCTTGAACCCTAAACCCAAAAAAACCCAAAACCCCTAAGCGTGAACCTTGAGCCCTAAGCCCTCAATCCTAAACTATTCCAGGGACCTCTTTTTGCCCCTTTTCGTGTCGCTCCCTTCTTCCAGGTTAGATTGGTGGAACCATATCCTCAAATCGTTGGTCCACTCCTCAACTTCTTCCAGCGGAACATCGTGTGACTTCACTATTTCGTGAAGTTCCAATGGAGTTAACATACCGGATGTCCAAAAACACCATCCCAGAGAGCCCAATGCTGCTTAATAAGGAAACACAACTCTAATTAAGCAAGTATTGCTTATATGAATATGGCTTATTTAAGGTTTTCAAGCTTAATTAAGCAATGTACTGCTTAATTAAGAGCGAAACTCTTTTATTTAAGCATGATTCCGCTTTAAATAAGCACGGCAGGGCTAGATTTAAGCAATTATTGTTTAATTAAGGTGTTTTTTTACGAAGTGTGAACATTGCTTAACGAAGCTCGTTTTTGACCTTGTGTGTGCATGTGCACATGTGTGTGTGTGTGTGCACGTGTGAAATATGGCACGTTTTGCATTGTTTTTTTGCATGGTTTTAGCATGCATGGGATCGGCTCCTATGAGGAGCGATCGGGAGCATGGAGCTTGTGCAGTTGCAAGCTTAATTTGGTCGCATGCAATCGGCTCGAGCGATGCATGGCACGACAACATGTCTGCTGTTGTAAGCCCTACTAGGAGGTCGAACTCGGCAAAGCCCGAAGACCTAGTGAAAGTGCTCAGGGCCCACCTGCCACAGGGCCTTGACAAGAAGTACTTAGACCATGAGCCTGGCATGCTTGTGCAAGCATATGAAGACATCATCAGCGATGTGCTTTTGAGAACCTCTCGCCCCACCAAATCCTTGTTGCAAAGTGCTGCTGTGAAGGCCTGGCAAAATGTCAAGACGAGCGAGGCTGAAACATGGGGTTCGCAGGTAGCCAAGGCTGTGAGTTGGTGCTACAACAAGCGGCTTCAAGTGAGCACCGGTGTGAAGTTGAATGCTGCTGTTCGCAGAATCATCCAGCAAATCAACAAGCAGAGTTTTGGTGTCAGAAAGACTGAGGCAGATATCGCAAAAGATCCCCCAAGTCGCAAGAGGGCCTTGAAGCCCACCCTTTCCCGCACCAGCAAGCAAAGCCAGGCCAGCCGAGAGTCACTGCCCAAGAATAAGAAACGATGCAGCAGCACCAGTGTCGACGAGCTTCGCAAGATCTATGGGCTCCCATTAATGTCCTCGACTGCTGCCAGCAGCAGCTCCAATGCCCAGCCCGATCTCCCCGGCAGTAGTCTCATCGACCTCGATGCTGAGACTGTGAGCTCCGAAAGCTCGGATGTGAAGTGCAAGGGTCAGGAAGCACCAGCTGGCCTGGAGTACTTCGACAGTAGCTCTTGCAAGATGGTTCGTTGGAGTTCGGGCAAGAAGATCCTCAGTGCCCAGATGACAGAGGGTCCCAATGGGTTCGCCTTGGTCGAGTGGCCAGGCGAGTCACCCGTGGAGACAGAAATTCCCAACTTGGCTTTGCAAGGTGCTGGCCTGAGGCCCCAAGACAAGCCCAAGCCCAAGGCCAAGAGTAAAGCCAAAGGCAAAGCCAAAGGCAAGGCTGCGAAAAGACCTGCTGCTGCCCCCGGCCCCGAAGCAGATGCTCCATCTGATGCTCCTGCAGAAGATGCTCTAGATGCTGCCCCGACCAGGCCAAGCTATGAGTACAACCCTGCTGATCCCGTGCCCGAGAATGCCCTGTACTCCTGCATGTACTACAAGAACAATGCGATTGGAATCCGCATCACAGTGAAGCACGAAGGTGGCAAGCTTGAAAAGCAGGTTTTCAGCTTTGGAGGTACCCACTGTGGCAAGACTGAGGAAGAGCTGAGGGATATGGGTAGGGTCGCTGTTGCGAAGATGAAGAACGATAGGCAACCCCCAGCTGTCGTGAAAACCTGGTGCGACGAGCAGATCTTCCACTGACTCGTCCAATATGAGGCAGGCCTGTAAAGAGAGATAGGTTTTGAGAGAAAGAAGACGGAGGGCTGCATTGCGCGCTTTCATGGCTGCCCTACACCACACATGCAGATCTATGTGCTATGATAACTTCGTCGGTTTTGTTGCCGTGTGGGGAACTCAGTTTTGGGTGTCAAGGCACTGGCCTCCCATGGGGAGGCCATAGGGTCTGTGCATCGTCCAGGTCGCTCAATGTTGGTGTGGTGAACTCAGTTTTGATGGCCTCCCATGGGGAGGCCATACCTAAAACTGCATGGCCTCGAGGTGCAAATGGATCTACATGTGCCCCCCCCGCTTTCGTTGTGTGTGCCTGTTTTGGGTTTGAGGAATTGAAGTTCGATGTCGTTTGTGTTGGGGGCTGCATGCGTGGTCGGGAGAGAGTGCAACCGGAAAACATACGGATATATACGACATATAAATAGATAAAGAAACACACATATATATACACCAACCCAAGTGAATTTCAATTGCCCCAAACCTTTATATAAGTGTCTTATTTTCCCCAGACCCTAGAAAGACCCGAAGACCTAAACCCCTTGATGTTAATCTTGACAGGTACAATATCAATGGTGTGGCTGGCGATTGGCAGATGGATCCGAGGACTGCTGGGCTAGGCAGATCATTCCATAAAGACCCAGCCCTTAAGCCCCTAAGCCTCTGAGGACCTTACATGTTAACGATCTGGAGCATGCATGTGCAGCACGTGTGAAGTCGACCGGCCACTGCCCCTTTGCAGGCTCACGAGCTCGGTGCTGCGATATCCCACCCGAGCCCTGCAACTAAACTCTACAACCTAAACCCTTATATAGCTCTAAACCCTTAACCCTTAACCCGAAATAGAAACCCTTAACCCTTTAAACCCTAAACCCTTAACCCTAGATCCTTAACCCTTAACCCTAAACTCTAAACCCCTTGAGGTCGTGTATAGGCTGGGGTGATTGCACTGTCACACACAGATCATGTACTGCACGATGCCAGAACAAGTTTAAGCTCTACAGTTAGTCGATTCTCTCTCTCTCTCACACACTCTCTATCTCTCTCTCTCTCTCGCTGTCTCACTCCATGGCCGATTGCGAGAGTGAGGATTATTCACCAGCTGCTGTGGAGAGGTTTTTTGGGCAACTGGCTGCAGAGCAGAGGGGGGGCGATCCCGAGCCGAACTCGATCGCGAGATCGAGCTCGGGCTCGGGATCTAGGAGGAGCCGGTCGAGGAGGCGAAGATCCTCGTCGACCTCTTCTTGGAGGAGGAGGAGGAGGCAGAGGAGGAGGAGGCGAAGATCCTCTTCTAGCAAGAGGAGGAGGCGAAGATCCTCTTCGCCAAGGAGGAGGAGGCGAAGATCCTCTTCCTCGCCAAGGAGGAGGAGGCGAAGATCCTCTTCTTCGCCAAGGAGGAGGAGACGAAGATCCTCTTCGACCAGCAGGAGGAGGAACAGGAGGTCCGTGCGGAGGAGTCCTCAGGAGGAGGTGGCATCGGAGGAGGTGGTAAGTGAAGGAAGGGAAGAAGAAAAGGAGGTGGAGGCACGGGAGGAGGCGGTAGGAGAAGAAGAGACAGAAGAGGAGGAGGTGGCAGTGGAGGAGGTAGGTGAAGAAAAAGAAAGGGAGGAGGTGGCATTGGAGGAGGTGGTAAGTAAAGAAAAAGAAGAGAAAGAGGAGGTGGAGGCAGTGGAGGAGGCGGTGTGTGAAGAAAAAGAAGAGAAGGTGGTGGAGGAGGAGGCACAAGCTGCAGAGGAGCCGAGAGGATCGCGAGATATTTTTCAGGAGGTGGAGAATGAGGAGGTGGAAGAAGGGTGGAATGAGGAGGTGGAAAAGGGGTGGACAGAGGAGGACTGGGAGATCTGGCGGGAGGTGCTGCGAGCTGGTGGGAAGAACAAGGGCCGGAAGCGACGGCTGGAGATGTTCCAGAGGCATAAGTACCTCAAAGCCCAGGGACTCTGGGTGGGAGGGAGGTGCCACCCAGAGGGCCGAGAGGCCCGTATGGAGGCCCGACCAAAGAGGAGGCCATGAGAAAAAGAGAGAGAGCCAGCATGTGCAAGGGCTTAGGGTTTAGGGTGGTCCAGGGCTTTTGGGGTGAGGGCAAGCATGTGCAGCGAGCATGAGTGTCATGAGTCTGCAGTTGCCTAAACCCTAAACCCTAAACCCTACACCCTAAACCCTAAACTCTAAACACTAAACCCTAAACCCTAAACCCTAAACCCTAAGCCCTAAACCCTAAACCCTAAACCCTAAACCCTAAGCCCTAAACCCTAAACCCTAAACCCTAAACCCTAAGCCCTAAAGCCCTAAGCCCTAAACCCTAAACCCTAAACCCTAAGCCCTAAACCCTAAACCCTAAACCCTAAACCCTAACACGTTCTGGTTGTTTGCTTCTCTCTCCCTCTCTCTCTCTCTCTCTCTCTCTCTCTCTCTCTCTCTCTCTCTCGCTCGCCCATGCAGGACCTGGCTTTGGTGGTGGTGGCCGGGCCCGGGCTCTGAGAGTGCATTGCGCGG